TCAATTTCTGCTCATGTAGATTAACAGAAACCATTGCTAAAATTGATAGTGATTATTGTGACTAAAATCACTTTTTAAAATAAACAGAGACACGATCTTGGCTGTTCGTTCATCTAGTCTGGGAATGTGCCAACTTTCTGAGTAGGGGAATCAATAGGATTTCTTAAATTACTCATTGTCGTAATAAAAATAGTCTTACTCTTCATTACTCAACCATGTTATATCTACCCTAGTCACTGATCTTGATTTTATTTCTATTGTCCAAACTGATAAAAGTGATGTTTGAAGTGGATACATAAGTTGAGGAAATGAAAAACAGTGGAAAAGTGGCTCGTAGTTTTTTCTTAACTTGGCAGAATATGTATGCACAAAGAAATTAAGACTGAAGTCACATTTCATAGATTTTCCCCAGATGAAGATAATGTTTTCTGGGGTTTAGCAGTCATGATATTATAACTTAGGTTAAGCTACTTATGCTACCTAGTATGATCAATTATAATTTAAATTTTTGTAATTTTCTACTCATGTTGATTTTTTCTTCCATTTAAGTCCATTCCTAACTCTCTTATCTGTGAGAAATAAGGGTAGTTCTGTTCTTTAGAACACAAACATAACTGTAAAATAATCTATCTAAGTTCAAAAGTTTGATACAAAAAGTCATTTTCCCATTACTTTTTATTTTGACATTTTAAAATCTAATTGCAACACCAGGTATTCCCATATGTAAATCTTGCACCATGTTTCCTTAAAAGTCTTGTAATACTGTTGCTTGGGTTTTTGTTCGTTCTTTTGGGGTTTTTTGTTGTTTTTTTTTTTTTTTTCTTTTATGTACCAGGCACAGAGAGATATAATTTAATAACAATAAACCCAAACACTTTATTTGGTTGTGGGTTTGTTTTGTTTTGTTTTGGTTTTTTTCTTTCCAGATGAAAATTAAAGCATTTCAAAAAACATTAAAGTCTCCAGTAGTAATTTTTTTTTCCCAGCAACTTTGTTCTCAAACCCTTCCGTTCCTACATGCTTCTCTTTTGGCCTGATTCAACAAAGACACAGTACGTGCCCTCAGTGAAAGCAAGAATCCCTCAGTAACAGGCAGGTTTGAACCGCACATAGCAAATATCCGGTATATCTGTACTGATACTCTGCAGCTCAAATTTAGGTTCTGTGCTTTTCTGTTTTATCACCAATGTTGCAAGAGTCTAGATATCCACACAGCACATTTCAATCTTAGGAGAAAGAAGAGCCACCACACTGCTCACAAGTAAGGAACCAACAAATAATATTTACAAAAAGAAAATCAGATATGAATCTTGCTATTTAAAATATATCCAGGACCAGTTTATTCACATACAGAACTCAAGCGTATAATAACAATCACAAACACAAAGTAGAATTGTTTGGGTATTTTCATATTATGTCTGGCAAGTTAAAGCTTAAGAGTATTTCCTTTTTATTCTGCCAAGGGTTTCTCTGCTGTGCAATAATTTTTATCGCCCTGCTGTGTTTAGGATAAAGGGTTCAGCACCAGAGAAGGCACAGGAATGATAAACTTGATTCAGCAGTGCGATGACACTGCGCTCTGCCTCCGCGGGGAACGCACCAGTTAAACCCTCTCGAATTGACGGGAGATTTGACCAGCCAGTAACACAGCTGGTTGATTGGCCACCTTGTACATATTTGCTCATATTCGTATAAATCTGTTCGGGGTGAGCCCACCAGAAGACCAAGAGTTTCTGACGGGAAGTGGAAACCTGTCCCAGCTCCTCCGCTGGAAGTCAGCTGCAACGCTCCCACCCCTCTATTTTCCTGATCTCCACTGGTTTTGTGGTTGCCATTTGCCTCAGTAGTAAAGCTCAGACAGGAATAATCAGGTTTCAGATGCAGTTTGTCCTGTCAGAAACTCCTGATGTCCTACATTACATTTCACTGATTGTTAGATTTGGGTCAGGAAATAAATTTTCTTCAGGGCACATTGACTCTGTCTTGAATTTTACTTTATTGTTCTTTCTCTTGCATTTGAGAAGGAAATTAGAGGCCTTTTTGCTGCTGCATATCTACTACAAAGGGCTGAACAGTCTCAGCTTCCATTAAAATGAAAATGAGCATATCACTGAAGGCATTTAGCTTTTTGCCAGGTTGTATTTTTGCTGGGTTGTGCATGGAACAAGAAAATTCACTTGACCAAAGCCCCAAAGTTTCAAGAACTTGAATATATACCTATCTACCTAACCTATGTCCACCGTGTTGGTTGGATCCTTTCCCCTTCATTACAGATTTTCATTTAAAAAGAAAAAAAAAAAAAAAAAAGAGAGAGAGAAGGAACCCTTACCCTTCAAATCATGTATAAAGTATTATTACTTAGTTTAAGAATTTGCTTATGAAGATGTAAAATCCTCAGATGAGTCCACAAAGATTAAATTAAAACATGTCAAAACCAGACTGGCATTAAACTGTCAAATTTAGGAATAAGGTTGTCATTGCAGTCACCATGAGACTAATTCTTTCCTTAAGAAAAGTTCTTTCTTGGTTATTGTTTTTAAAGATGAATCTCCTGGATAAATTTGTTGTAAGAGTTATGCCTACACAGGCTTTGTAAGAAGGTCTGCTGAATGCTGTGATTGACCCCAGTGTCAGGGAGATTCAGCACTTATTTGCTTTGATATTTAACTTATTGATAAAGTTGTCACCCATATCCTGAAATCCAGTTTCAGTGGTGATCGTTACTGAGAGAATGATCAGACAATGTTATATTTCTGAAAACTACTATTTTATGTCTGAAGTACAAAATCCTTTTCCCACCTGCCTGGAAGTGAGGTACACTTTACAACAACTTTCAGGTGAATAGTTCTCCCTGTGCACTCCAATAAATTTACTGAAATTCTCCAGAAAAAAAAAAAAAAATCCTCTGTTTATTTACATAATTTACATTATTTATTTCTTTTATTTACCATGTTTTGCTAAAACAAGTGATATCATGGCTTTCCAAAAGTTGATGGCCTTTTCAAGAATTAGTGCAGATAAATATTTGAATTTGATTTTAACTTTAACTAAACCAGTATCTAGAGGACAGTACATTGCCTTCCAAGTGGACTTTCATCTAATACTTGATGTTATTCAGAAGATCTCCAGGCTTAAAAGATGCTGCTCTCGAATGAATTTCAGGACAAGATGCTTTGAGGAGTTTCAAAAACATTTTTGATCAGATAAGCCACTGACACACGAGTTTGTCTTTCAGAAGCTTTAGTTTATTTGAAACTTACTGAAGATGATCTATTTAATTAGCAGTCAATCACCAGTGCAAATTAGGAGTTTAGCTTTCTGTGATTACTTATCTAATAAGAAGCCCTTGAACTGAAAAACAGTGACCCTGCAGCTTCCTCATTTTATATTAAGTTGGACAACCATCTCTCCTGTGTTAAAATATTAGGACCATGAGGATGAATATTTAGTTCTCTATAGTTATGTTAAAGAATCTCTTAAAACATTGCATATGTCAACTCTTAATTCAAAAGTCAGAAGTAACTCTTCTTTGGTGTTATGCCATAGTTATTGAAATCAACTGACTTCTCAGAATAAGTTAAAAGTCTGTGTATAACTGATTAAAATTTATTTTCCTTTCCCAGTTGCTCTACTTTCAACTCTTTCACTCTTATGTCATTATGCTACTAGCTGTTGAGTTTCTGTAGGACTCTCTCTCCACTGAAGATAAACCAGTTGTCACCTAAATGTGCAGCTAAAATGAAAACAAAAATTCAGCTGCCAATACTCAGAAGAATAGTACATACTGCAGAGCGAGGTCCAAACTGGCTCCTAAGCAGTGATGAGTGTGCTCTTGGTCCACCCACACTTTGAGGTCATGTCTAAACAGAAGACTCATTTTGGCAAAAATAATTATACCAGATGTTCACTAGTTAAAGCTTACTAAGCACCTTTGTTCATAAATGACACTGAACGTTAGCTCTTTCCTTAAATATCCCTGTACAGATAACCTCGAAGTTAGATACCCACAGTACCAACTCAGCTGTGTCCATTATTGACTCAAGCTGATAGCAACAGATAGCTTTCTCAGTGAAAACAAAGGCATTTGGATTCTTCATGATTTCTAATTATTTCAGAATTTCTAATCTAAAAAAAAAAAAAATATTAAAGAACAACTCTCTCAGGCCCTCCTAAAACGTAGAAAATAACTTTTAAAAAATATATACATCATTCTGGTGAAGTAAGTCCCTGTCTCAATTTCTTGGAAAAGACAATGTTTGCACAGTTGAGAGATTTTGTTGCTTTAAAAAAAAAAAAAAATCCAAGCAGTCAGCCTCACAATCAAATGTACCTTAAGAGTAATTAATAAAGATTTATGAAGGATTTGATATGGGAAGTGCCCTCTCTCCATATACCTATACTTATACATCTTATACATAAACTTAAACGTATACACATACACATACATACACATATTCATATATACATATACACGTGCTACATGTTATGGTAAGGATGATGTATTACTTGGAATTTCTTTGGAAATAAAGATAGGAAAATGGTTTTATTTCCATCCTGATTTATAACTCAAGATCAACAGAATGGAATATTTCCATTTTTTTTATTTTAGAATACCCCATATTTTTATATTTTATTCAGTTTCTGCTTGAAATTTACATTTTATGGAATATTTTAAATCATAATCAACATACATAGATGAATTTTAAAAGAGATCAGAATTCTTCCCACATCATAACTGGTTAAAGGTGGAACTGATGTTGTTTCCTTCAATTTTTTGTTTTCTGCCTTTGTGAAAAAACCTTATTTGTTTTCTGAAATATTGATTAAACTATAGCTAATCCTTCTATAATCTGCCCCAAACATATTGTACAGAATGGCTCATTATTAATTTATGCACACATTTTATACCTAACTTGAAGGGAGACAATGTGGCAGAAACACATATCATGTCATTTTGTTAAATTTATCCAAGAAATGGGAAAAGATATTTCTTTACTTACTAATTAAGTTTCAGATCTCAGCATTTTAGAGCAGCAGGTTCAGAACTCTACAAGCCTTGTTGCAATAATCCATTTCTGTCCACATCTGCAATATATTAAATACAAATTTATCTGGAATTTTAACCTGTATCTACAAAAAATAAATTTCACAAATACATAACAGAATGAGTTTTCATAGCAAAATTATAATAAAATTGGTTTCTTATTTTAAATTACTGTGCAGACATGCTGTCCTGCTTTCAGCTGGGATAGAGGTAATTTTCTTCCTAGTAGCTGGTACAGTGATTTGGATTTAGGATGAGAATAATGTTGACAACACACTGATGTTTTAGTTGTTGCTGGGCAGTATTTGTACTAAATCAAGTTCTCTTCAGCTTCTCTTGCTGCCCCACCAGCGAGGAGGCTGGGGGTGCAGAGGAAGCTGGAAGGGGGCACAACCAGGACAGCTGACCCCAACTGACCCCAGGGATATCCCATGTCAAATGACATCATGCCCAGCATGTAAACTGGGGGCAAAGATGACTGGAAGCCACTGCTCAGAAACTAACTGGTCACTGGTTGGTGAGTGATGAGCAATTGCATTGTGCATCACTTCTTTTGTGTATTCTAATTATTTTCTATTATTATTATCATCATCATCATCATCTATTGTTATTATTATTACTACTACCATTATTATTATTTTCTTCCTTTTCTGCCCTATTAAACCATATTTATCTCAACCCACACGTTTTACTATTTATTTTTTTCCCAATTCTCTCCCCCATCACCACTGGGCGAGGGCAGTGAGCAAGCAGCTGTGTGGTGCTTAGTTGCTGGCCAAGGTTAAGCCACAACATATACTCAATTACTGTATAAAATTTATTCTTAGCTTTGCAAAGCTTTGCATTCCGATTGGCTGAAGAGTTTCTCATTTTCTTAGTCACTGCACAGTTGTTTCTCAAGTATATACCCTACAGAACCATTCCTGATGTTTGGTAGAGAGTTAACCAACTGAAGTAGGATGTATATAATAGCTATGTGGTTATCTTTCAATAATCTTACTTCTACAATCACCTACTATACTTCTTCTTAGGCTGGCTCTGGAATACAAACACAGCCTTAGCTTATAACATCAAAATACTCCAAAAATGCATGAAGGAGGAATCCTTCTGTTCTTACTGCAATGAAAAGGGGTGGGGCGGGGAGGGGGGGTGGCGCGGGGAAAGCAAAACAAAACAAAAGTGATCAATTCAGATTTCATTTGAAATCATGGCAAATACAAATGAATTCTATTAAACTTCACTGGAGATAACTAAAGGCAGAAGGTCAGACTATGCTCTGGTTTGTAAAGGTTGAATCCTAGTGCTGATGCCCCCGCTGCAGCATGTTCCTCTCCTACCCTTAGTGACCCCCAAGGACAGCAAAGCTCTCATCCCCAGAGCAGCAGCTATGTATTTGCTCTCTGTGTTTACTTTCGATAGCAGAATCCTCTTCTGCACTGGTAAGGAGGAAAAGACAGAAAGCATGGGAAAAAAAAAAAAAAAGGTCTAAGAAGGCAGAAAGAAGGAGGAGTGGAGTGGGGAGGAGCTGCGAGGCATAGGTCCTGTGAAGAAGGCTGCACCCACACCCGCACCAACCCTTCGCGGCGCATCGTCCCCGCCAACACCCAGCTGGGGCCGTGAAACTCGGCACGGCAGCGTTAGAGCAAACGAGGACATACAAGAAAACACGGCCCCAGCCCCAGGATTAGACCCAGGCCTCCCCCGTGCACGCCCAAACCCTTCAACCGCAGAGCCACGCTGCTCCATCCTCCCTCCCTCCCTCCCGGCCCCGCTCGGCTCTCTGCTATTTCCCCACGCACCGGCCAAGCTTCACCCAACTCACAGCTCGTACCTCAGACTGCACACGCTCCCCAACCTCCCCTTTATATAAGCTAGAAAAAAAATATTTTAAAAATATACAAACTCCCCTCAATGACTTCCACTTAAGCTAAACATTATTTTCAAAGCTTCTCCAAATGTTTTTCATCGTTTCGTTGTCTCGTGTCTTATTTTTCCTTTTTTCACTCTAATCGTCCTCATTTTATAAACTGAAAATTTAGAACACTAATAAAATAATAACGTACCAAACTATTTCTTCTACATATTTACTCTCAATGTGGATTTAAGGTTAATGCATACTATTGAATGTTGGTCTTATCAGCAAGAAATGATTCACTGACTTTGTCATGTCTAGTAATTACTGGAAATTACCAGGAAAAAAAAAAATGTTAAAAACAGACTTAGGGTTGACAGTTCATATTTTTTTCCTTTTCTTTTGTATTTTAAAAAATATATTATTTTTAATATTTTTGAAAGTTCATATTTTTTTCTCTCTAATTTAACAATCAATGACACCAAGAAATTCTACACTGGGGTAAACTTCTTGTAGTTTACCTATATAGTATATGCTATATATTGTTTACATATATTTCTGTATACATATATATGTATAGCTGTCAATTATGCACAGCAGGGATGCATGCCAGTAAAGCACCCAGAATGACTCAGAGGCATCAAATCAGCTCTCAGGTCATCCTGTAAAAGTGCTTGAATCTGGCAGGCTGGACTACATTCTTTTTTTTGAAAAAGGTGGCCGAATGCTCATGCCACGTTCAAACTGAAACTTCAGGATTAAAACAGGACAGGTGCCTCTATAATTAACCTGGCCTGGTATTCTGCCAGTGTCTGCTCAGAGACAATAATTTATAAATTATTTGAGACTCAATCATTTTAACTTCCTACAGGCATTCATAAAGAGATCTTGATCTTGCACAAGTACAAGCATCGCTCATTGACTACAATGGAAAGATGCAACGGTCTTTAAAGGATAATGCAAATTCTCTGGGACATTGACATTAAAAAACACATGGTTTTAACCATTGTATTCATAAATACGTGATATGTTGCTATAGAACATAATATAATGATATGTAATATGATATATTTGTACTTCAGCTGTTCACAGAAAGGAATAATTCAGATACTGTCTTACAGGAAACGATGAAAAAAGCAACGGCAGTACATATCTATCTATGTCAAATAAACGGAAGGAATGTGCCTATATCTAATATAATTATTCCTTTGGGATCTTCAGCATAAGGCTGTGCATCTTAAACCAACCATTTTCATTTCTGATTTTTAAATTTATATTTCAAGCCAATGTTTGTATTCCTGTTACTCCCGTGATGGTAGCTGGGCATCAAACACTATCATGATAGGTCTCTATCACGTGTGCTTCTCCAAATGAGCGTGTAAATGAACTACACAGATTTATCTTTAGAAAACATTTTGCTTGAAGATTTAACTCTAGGCAAAAGAATCACCTGGAATCAATTGACTATATGATCACAAAAATTTTGAGATGGAAAAATATCTAAGAACTGATCTAGTCAATCCTCTTAAGCACATTGGACTGTAGCCTGCAATGAGTTTTCTGGAGTATTCTCAGGCCACGGAGACACCATTATTTCCCTCCAATCTATCCCACTGTCCACCTCCTTACCAGGAATTTTTCCAGATATTTGGACAGAAAGCTCCTGTGCTCAGTTTCTTCTCATTTACCTTTCCTGGGTACACAGACCATCATGTCAGCACTTCTCTAATATTGCATTGTGGTTTGGGTTATATTGGCCTGGTTTTGGTCAACATTAGGGAAAACTCTGAAGGCATACAAGGAAAGATGAGTTGACACCATGCAGACCTTCGGTAGCTGGGATTACTCCCAATCCAAGCACCCACACACATTTCCTTTTGATTATCAGTTAGCTCAGTCACTTCTCCTAAACTTTCCTCCTGAATCAATCCCACCATTCTGTCACTTTAACAGTTTTCCCCTTTTTTTTTCCTCTGAATGTCATCAGTTTCTCATTACAGTTTTCTTTTAATGGCAAGCTGTATTCTATGTAGTCTGATACTGCCATGTGGAAATTATGAGTTCCCAACGTGACGCTTTAAATGTATGGCATAAAAGGCATTGCTGATACCTCTCTTTTTTTTTTTTTTTTTTATTTTGAATTATATTTTAACCTTGTAACTACTTCATTGTCCACTTTATTCTTAGGTTTCTTCCTATTACTTAGTATCTGTTTCCACTGAATATTTATTTGTGTTTCAGATATCTTTTTTCTCCCATATATTCATTACTTTTTTTTTTTCCATGTGAAATCGTATATTTTGATTTCCAGACAATATTGCTAATCTGTCTCAATTAGTCTTATTCTTTCACTTTTCCCACAAGTATTTATAGCACCTCAAATACAGTAACTTGAGTTGTTTCATTTGCACTCTCCAAATTATTAGCAAGTACGTTCAGATTATAAATTCAGTACTCATAGGACTAGATAATAAACTTCCTTAAAATCACTGAAGTGTATGCAATTATTTAAGCATTTTGGGGGAAAAAAATGATTCCTTTTAAAAATTATTAGAACATTAAAACTTAATATTCCTTTGTTCATTGTTAGGTGAACTCATCGTATTACACCTGAGCGTTCAAATCTCCTGTGGTCTTTAACGTTCTGTGTAACTGATGGCTAGTTAAGCACAGGATTGGGCTTCATCTGAGGGAGCAAAACCCCAGGGATGAACACATAGAAAGAACAGGTCAAAATCCAGTTTAAAACTCAAAGTACAGAAGATTGCATCCATTAATGAGTAATGCTAATTTTATGTATGATAGGCCCAATGTAAAGCTCCTGTTTGTTTTAGCAGCTATCATTTGTAGGAGCAGCTTCTTTTAGGAGTCACCATAGGAAAGTAACAACTACCTGAAACACAGGGACCTCACCCGATTGGGCTCAATACATGACTAATAGTTTGTACAATATATTTTGATTTGGCAGGTATTTGGGCCTACATTCCTACAGATACTTGAATATATGCTGCTTATGAAAACACTCATTAAATACAGTGAGATTTACTTTTTCTTGGGTGAGGGTGGAATGATGTTTTAAATTAAATTAAGAAATTAAGCAGTTGTGTTAAATACAGTATCTTATGTTTATTGTGTGTACAGTAAGGTAACTTGTCTGCATAGTGTATGTTATTAGCAGAATGTGCTTAA